TTTAAAGGTTTTTGAATTCTTTGAAACAAAATCCCTATTGTAATGGAAGTTTTACACACATGTGGAATGAAGATACGAGATTCTAGTAGGGAAAACGTTACTAATAGTTTAGCTCTTTGTATATTGTCAGTCCGATTTTACCTTTATTGCTATCACAAATCCTGTCAAACTACTTTGTTTTGCCCCCTTTTTTTTTTTCTTTAAGACACAAATGCATTGGTACTATGTAACTTAAGAGAGCTCAGGATACCAACAAGTTCTCCTCAAAAGTATTTGGTTGCTATCTTCCAGCAAAACACCTGTGCAGATCTGAGCGTGGGGAAAATGTGGTGTTACAGACTAATCTCAAGGAAGTGCTTAATACGGTAACGAGTGAAAGTTACAGGGAGGAGTGAGAGAGTTGTTGTATCTGCTCAGCTTCCAATATCCTAGGCAGCTGATGACCATTGCGGCCAAAAAACCTGCCCTGGAGACTCTCAGCACAGCAGATAGAGAGGGAAGCAGCACAAGAGGCCACGTAAGCTGGGAGCTGGGCCGTCTTTGGAGAAGAGTTGTCTGACAGAGTTTGGACTGCTGTGTGGAAATGCCAGCTTGCTTGCCTTTCTAGTTCCACTCAGAAGTTTTGACAGGTTTGAGATGTTCCTGCAAAATGCTTGGATTTAATTACAGCAGCTTTTTTCAATACATTAGTGCTGTCAAGAAATGTTCACCTATGGAATTTCTTTGGAGTGTTTCCTCACAATAGATGTTTTTAAGAGAGTTTTGTTTGTTGTTTTCCCACTTTAGAATAAAATTTGGGAATGAAAACAAAATTTTGCTTGTGTCTCAGAGGTACCAGTGTTCTAGAATGCTTCCTTACACAAGGGGGGCTCTTCTCCACAAATCTTTGCATCAAATTTGTCTTTCATTTAAGACCTCATCCAGTTGTCAGTCTCTCTTAAGGTTATGGACTCTCCTCGGTTTTATTAATCCTTATGGGAAATGGGCCACATGTTTGTTGTCTTTGGTATCCACTGTTTCCTTTTTTTCTTTTAAGAAATATTGCCATCTGTTGTTTTCTAGATTTTTTTTTTATATACTCTCTAGTTTCTCCTGCATCACCATCAGTTTCTTTGATCATTTTTTAATCGATTTTTTTTTAAAAAGGAAAAAGCCAAAAAATACTGTAATACTATTGCTTTAAGCGAGATAGGGCTCAAATTAGGTTGTCTTACCATCAAATGCTCTTGTGTAGAATTCTCTTTCTTTTCATTACAGCCTCTGAGCACATTCTTAGTCACACTCTGTTACCATCCATTATTCTGCTAATCTGGAGTAACGGCATGGTGGCAAAGCAGAAACAGAGTTAACACAACAGATAAAGCAATTATGTTGTGAAAATACACCATGCCCATATGTGGAGAAGAAAAACTCAGTGATGCTTTTGACAGTAGAGTACAGTGAGCTGTGCCAGGGCTGCCCAGCACAGTTCTGTGCAACAGACACCCAGAGCGGAGAGTCTGTCTAGCCACGTTCATGTAGCTCATAATCCTGGCTGGACATGAGCTGCCCTACTCAGACATCATGGGGCCAGTTCCCTGCAAGGATAGTAACAGATGTGTTTTTCTAAATCTAATGCTTGAAGATAAATCTGACTTCCATATTAGTATGAGTGCATATATCACAAGAAGGCGATAAATAATCTTTTCTTCTGTTATTTTCAGAGCCAAATTTTGTGTCATCTTATGACATTGGGAACTTTACCTACTTCTTCTTCCGGGAGAATGCGGTGGAACATGACTGTGGGAAAACAGTCTTCTCTCGTGCTGCTCGGGTGTGCAAAAATGATATCGGTGGCAAGTTCGTGCTGGAGGATACCTGGACTACCTTCATGAAAGCTCGGCTGAACTGCTCTCGCCCTGGAGAAATTCCATTTTACTATAATGAACTACAGAGCACTTTCTTCCTGCCAGAATTGGACTTGATCTATGGGATTTTTACCACTAACGTGTAAGTAAATTCCATGATATATTTTATTTTCTTGCTATTTGTGAAGTAAAAACTAAAGCTTCTGAGCTGCTCTCTTCTGCATATGCCAAGTAAACATCATAAATTCAAACTACTGTTTTGCTCAATCCACTGTCCTCTTGTGAACAAGCGTCGGTTCCAAATGCTTCCCGCATGAATTGTTGAAGGCGTATGAAAGAAGGAAGAATTCTTAATATTTCCTTACATCAGGGAGCCAGTTGTGTTTAAGACTACTCAGTCATCTTTTTCATAAATTCTTATGAAGACATTATTTTTTATTTTGCATACTATTGTAATACATAAATAGATTATGTATTTATGAAATAAATATTTTATAATTGTAATACGAGCTGATCATGAATTTGACATGATGTAATTTGACCATACTAGGAAGAGCTCACCTTACCCAAAAGAGCACAAGAGGTGCTCTTACATGTTTTAAATTAGTCCTAATATATACTCATGTGAGTTTGAGGGTCAAACCAAAAATCTAATCTAATTTTAACTGAACGTCTTATATCAACAAGATAAAATTAAAAAATGTACAGTTTGGTCTTAAAAATCAAAATTTGTCAAATATTAAATGTTGGAGGGACATAAAAGCTCCCTAGACTCTGAGCTTGATATCAAGAGTTGCTTAACTCTTAGGAAAAAAGAGACATTCATCTCAGAAATGTCCTTTGTTACTTTAAACATGATTACTGGAGTTCATATGTTGCCCATGCATTATGTGCAGCCCAGTGTTCGGACCGCTAGGAACAGGGTTTCAAATTTTGGTGTCTGATTCTCTTACCTGCTTGCAGTGTCTTGCTCTGTAAGTCAGTTTTGCCTAGAATTTTAAAAGGTATTTGGGCACCTAAAACGTGGATCAGTGCCCCTTTCTACTGCTGTAAATACCTGGATACCTACCTTCTATAAATACCCATTAACCAGGTGGAAACAGTCACAAATTAATGCCAGCAAATTACGATCTAAGTTTTTTAGATCACGAGCATGAATTTGGGCTTGAGCCAGTTTCTCCTGCTTTTAGTACAGTCCTTTATTAACACATCTAAGCATCTTCCAGACTCAGGCTGGCCCCTGCGCCAGCAGCTCAGGCGGTGAGCACAACTAGCGAGAGGCTGCTTGCACGAGGCTGTGATGATTCCTGACTTGGGACATTGGATGCCGAGCTTAACCCTGTTCCTGCTCTAGAGCAATGCATTGAAGCCAAATGCTGCTTTTTTAATGAGAATAGTAAAGACTTTAGGACTACTGGGGATAAGAAAATTTGATGCTGTGTTTAACAGTAATTTTAATTTCATTGGTCTGTTTTACTAGCTAGTTCGAGTCTTAGAAGACAGGTATTTCTCAGGTGGTGTGCTCATACACTGTTCAACACGATCTTTCATGAGAAGTCAAAATAGCCTTGACGGTCTCCTACCATGGAAAGCCTGACCAGAGGAATTCTGCTCCAGAAAATCCACAGGGCTTTGGTCATGGAAGGGGGAGCAATGCTCTTCTCTCAGAAGGGCTGTCCTGGCAATTTGGGGAATGATGGAGTTTCCTGTGCTACAAATTCCACAGTTTCTGAGGTTGCGTAAAGATGTCAGGGCTGCCATCAGCACACCCTGGCTCTTCTGAGAAAGGACTCGCTAATGTAAGACTGCCTTTGCCACATGAAAGTAGGCAGTATTTGAAACCTTGCTGCTACTTCCCTCTTCCCCAGTAGCTCAGCATTCTGCCCTGTCCAACAGAGGTGGACTATTCAAAGAGGAATTAATTACAACTGTTTGGGGGTGGGTTTTTTGATAGCTCCATTGAAATTATATTTGTTCCTGCCATCAAATGTTGTAACTAAAGTTTTGGACATTGTTGAAATGTTGTAGAGTTAAGATTACTTCCCCATGTTGAATATCTGTTCAGAGATATCTGCACAACCTGTATGACGCACCCTTCAGCCCTGCAACCTGACAGTGGAAAAGGGCCAGGGTTTCCCATGAGGTGGAACAACATATTCCTTTCTGTTGGTGTAACAGCATCAGATATTACTGAACTGCATTCAGCATTTGTCAATCTCAGTATCTTCAGAATTGCAATGATTTTATTGTACCCTAATGCTTTTTTTAATAT